AGATAACACGGAGCCGCTCGACGTCGCCGAGAACGGGGACGACGATCGGCTACACCAGCGCTGCTGCTCTGCCTGCACTGCACCGACTCGCCATAGCCACACCTCGCCACCGCAATGGCGTCCTAGCCACCCCGACCCCACGGTGAGCCCCCACGCCTGCCTCGCTCGCCGGTATGCGCTCGCCATGGCCGCCGTCGTGGTCTCTCCACCTGAGAGGCCCAAGGCCCGGCCTTTTCTCTATCACGGTACACAACATGCACAGGTTTTTTGCTCCCTTTAAGATAAATACTGACATGTTCACATCATAACTATATACAAATATGTACAAGTATAAATCCAACTGAATAGATGTTGCCTCATTGCCATCCTTCCTGATCTCCAAATATCTGTTAACTGGATATAGAATCAGACCCACTGTAAGAATCAGATTCACTGCTTGCAACCAAATAAACTTGTCCCAATAAGTATCACCAGGCTTTAGAACAAGTCATTAAAACACTAAGCCGAATAAATGCAGTAAGCTACGTGAAATTTCACACGAGTAAGTAATTTCAAAGCTACGTGAAATTGTTATCGATTACAGATCAAGCTACGTGAAATTCCACACGAGTAAGTAATTTCACTAAAACCAAGCAAAGTAGACCGGAGGAACTAACAGCAAAGGTAATAGTTTATTATCGTATTATGCTTGAAGTCGCTGAAATTCAGTTTAGCCACACTCTCTCATGAACCATGGTAGCCATAGATCGAGAAGAGAGAAAATTACAGACATTATTGGATAGAACTACTTGCATCCATGGTGACTTTGTATGACATAAAACAAGGCATAGGAATTCTGATAGCTATATTGCGAGGGGTAACGAACCTTTAGAAACACTGGGTCCAAGTTGAAGAGCACACTCCAGTGTCCTCTTCATATCTCTCAGTATTTATGTCACTCTAGAGAGCTCTTTCCCTGAAAACACACAGCATTTCAACGGTTCCATAATCATAAACGCACCATAGATTCAAAGTGCTGACCAAATCCATTTCCATCATTTCAGAATTCTCTTTCTAAACACAAGATGCTACACATCAATAAAAAAAAGGTGACCAACTATTTCTTGCTTATTACATAATAAATAAGCAGGTGAGGTCACTCATAGGTTTTCTCAAAAAAAAATTGAAGGGAAACTGGTCACATTTACAGTCCTAGACGCCTAGACACAAGGTATTTTTTAAGGGGAAATTACACTCTAAAACCAGGCTATTCAACTGAAACAATTAAGATGATAGCATCATGGTACTATTGAATCTGGATAACAAACATGCCAAAACATTTAGAGATGTATAGTTGTATATAGACACAATCACATGAACCTATAGACAAATCGAGCACGGAAAACATGACAAAGCTTCATTTGTCGAGTACAGAACAAATAATTTTCCAATAATAAGAAGCAATAAGATGTTAACATTTTCTATTGGAATCCCAGCATCATGCTCCTGTCAGCTGATTAAGCCACAGACAGGTTAACTGAATCATGCTCGTGAGAGCTGCCTAAGCTGCCAACAGAAGAATTGCATCATCCAATCAACCAACATGCAAATAACATTACAAAGGCTAATCGCATATTCTAATTACTTCCTGACCAACTAAATCTAGAATTGAACGCAAGGACACAGGTTTTTAGATTTTTTGATACGCAGACCAAAACGCATGGAGAGTTGAGCTCTGATGGGGAAATGTCGCATGCATGGAAATCGATTTCAGTGTGCAGGATACATGAGGCTGCAAGTCGGTTTAGTAAACACCAAAAAAGGCAACATAAACCTAAGTGGAATTTCATCAAACATGTTACCTGCACAGATCTCTCCACAAACCCATCTCAATGACTAACCCGAGCAATCTGACGCATGTCAAACATCTCTCCATAACATGCCTAACCACCGACGCCGCTGCCTTCGCATCTATCCTTCTAGTATTCTATCTCTCTAGGGAGGGGATCAGGAACGACAACATGGAAGAGAAATCATGAATCAAGAGGTGCTGACCTTGGCAGTTGAGGTCTCGATGTAGATCGAGTTCGATGGAGCGCAGAGGAGGTGGATCGGGGTTGGACAATGGAGGCGTCATCGTCGTCGTCCACTACGGGTGTGGACGTCAGGACCCGCCAAGCAGCCGCCCGACGCAGCCACGACGATGGAGGTAGCGCTTGGTGGAGGAGCACTTGAAGAAACGACGAACCCGACGAACTCCAACGATCTCCCTGCGCTGCCCAACGCAGCCGCGCCGCCTCCCACCAACCGCGCCGCCGCACCGCCTCCCCGCAACAGCGCCGCCGCACCACCTCCGCGCAACTGCGCCGCTGCGACGCCTCCCCGTAGCCGCGCGCCTCGCCGCAGCCGCACCTCCGTTCGCGCGCCGAAGCAGGAGGGCCATGCTGGAGTCGCCGGAGCTGGCCGCCCCTCCCACCCCGTCCTTCCCGTGCGGTTGCTATTGCGGCGTGGGCAGCTTGCAACCCCGTGGGCCTGGAGAAACAATTTACGTGGGCTGTGGGCAGGCCGTCCCTCCCAATCTCCAGTTTTTCTTTTGCTAATTAAAATTTTGTATTATAATTTCCCTTTGTGTTTTCTAGTGTCGTTTGCTTCTTCCGGTGAATCGAGTCTACAAGTTTTTTACTCACAGCAGCACAGGACTTTGAAGGCGTTTGACAAAAAACGCCTCCAATTGCTATAGTCACTTAAGGCGTTTCTAATTTTGCCTTTAAAAAAATGTTTTTAGAGGCATTTTTTGAAGAGTGCCTTTATGCAACAAGAAATTAAGGTATTTTGAGAAAACGCCTTTAACAAAATGCCTTCTATTAAGAGACATGCTGTAGTGAGATGCTTCATAATGCCAAATTGAAGTGTTAAGTATTGTTACCCATATGTCCGGTTCATTGAAGATGCCCTCGATCCTATATTAAAAAACATCCTAATGCTCACGCGCATTCTTTCATCACTGGAGTAAGGTGGATGGATCAATAATGAAACAAGACTCCAGCATATAAATACCCTATATTGTTTTGGATAATTTGCTGCAACATGAGGATATGAGGGGGAATATCCGTTTGGCAATCAAAGCTTCGAAGTCATCTCACCTAATCGAAACGGGAGGCGGGTTTGAAGCGGGGTATGGCCGAGCAGGTGTGGGATTGAGCGAAGCAGCGTCGCACAGAAGGAGGGTGTGTGACCAAGGAAAGGGGTATCTTTTTTTTTTGCTAGTGAGCAAAGGTGTATCTGGGAGAAGCAGATCCCCGGAGGGATTTGTGAAGTCCGAGGGATGTTGATAGCTATTATATATTTTCTCCACTCCAAATTATTAGACATTTTCATTTTCTAAATACGTAGTTTTTATGATGTACTTAGATCTACACTATGTCTAAATACATACTAAAATTAATGTATCTAGAAATATTAAAACGTCTTATAATTTAAGATGAAAAGAGTACTTATGGTTAAGATGGGACTATGTCGGCCCATTAGTCGTGCCGTGTCCGTGTGGCACTACGGGCTGATTTAGTGGTCCAGGCACGACCCTATAGTACACTAGCCCTGTGGGCATCAGACTGGGCCATGCTTTTTAGGGTCGTGCCTAGAGCCGGCCATTGGGCCCATCCCATTTTGCCCGGTCAGGGACCATGGCCATCCGGTTTATTTGTGCAGGACACGACAAAATACATAAAACAAAATCTTATGTGGACTAAAACAACATTGATGTTGCACCAATTTCATTTTTCTTTGGAACTTAAATTTGAAAATTGTTGGTAGAGTCTGAGAATATTCTAAATATATATTTGTGTCTTTTTGAAACCTTCTGGAGATATTATGGCCCTGTTCGCTTCTCTTATAATCCGTCTTTTTCGGCTTGTTTTTTCAGCCGGAACAGTGTTTTTCTTTCACAACAAATTAACCAGAACAATGTTTCGGCTTGTTTTTTTCAGCGAAGCGAACGTGACCATTTTATAGCGCTTTGCAAGATGCTATATGAGCAGCTCTGCGTGAGCCGCAACCAAATGCCACCACAGCTCCACTCCGCTCAAGAAGTCATGTGAATCACGCTGACAGGAGCGAGGAGAGAGAGGAGGAACCGAAAATAGTAGCTTCATCCGGATCCTTCTCGATCTCGTGGGCCCGGAGCATGGTGGATGTCATATTTGCCCTGTGTAGGTGAGGCTGAATCGGCACGGCTAGGGAGGGGAACGGTGGACGACAACGCGGCTTGGGGTGGGCTAGGGAGATGAGGCCTGATGGTGTCGAGGCGCGGTGGTGGCACGTGCGTCGGAGCCATGGAGGCATGGGAACTGGGAAGAGGAAGAAGAATACAGAAGAAGAGATGTGCGGTCTAGTAGTGGCATGAGAGAGAGGATAAGGTGGTCACATAAGGAGAAGAAAAGAAAAAAATAAAGATATTAAGGACATTTTATCCTTTTAACAATTAAGAGAAGCTATTTTAGCAAAGAATTTTCTAACTAGTGAAGTTAGAGCCCGTTTTATCGGAGAAGCTATAGCTGGTGCAATTTTAGGTGAAGGTGGAGCTATACAAAACATGCCTAGAGAACCGGACAGCGGATTGTGGGTCCAAGAACAAGAGCAAGCAAAGCCCAACCAACTGGTTTAGTTGGGAGGGCTTAGCGAACAAATGCGTCGGCGATCATGGCCTGTCGGCATGTGGAGCGCGTGAGCTCCCGGGTTCAAAAAAAAAAAAGACAGTCCTATAAAAATAAAGACAGAGACCTACGCCTCCTCATCCTGCCCCCAACTAGACAGCACAAGTCAGTCTACAGAATTACCGGAGATGTCCACCGTCACCGATGGCTGGTGCAGGGTGTAGTTACTCTTTGTTAAGTTGCTATGGAGCAGTTTATGCTTTTGTGTTTTCACTTTAACTCAACCATTTAATCTAAAAAAACTTTAATTCGACCATGCATTGCTATCCTTATGAGAAGAAAACATTCATTGCTATGCAGTAATCAAGAATGTCAGAAAACTGGACAAAATGCGATTCCAACGCAGAATGTGTCAAAGCCTGGAATTTCTTTATAGCTTATCAAGAACAAAATGCTCTGTACAAGTTGCATCTTCAGAGATGCAGCGCGTGTGGATATTATTGGCAGATGACAGACATCAAGCATTACTCTGCCTGTGGCAGCACCGGGGAGGAACGAAACGAAAAGAGTAACTGTACAGGTTTGAAGAATTTGAGACTAGATGCTAGTACATCAGTGGGTAATCGCGATTACAAGGCAAAAATGACATCAGGACATGTCTGACATCTTGATTATGGCTATCTCTGCTATGGGGGTTTCGGCTGGAACCGCAGTTCGTCTATCTTTTTGAGGTTTTCATGGTTCAGTTCTTCTCGTGTGGACTGAAGAGGAAAGATCGATATATATATTGACAGCAGCTGACACTTCAACATGACAACTGATGATCCTTATTATCGCTCATCCAGACGACGCATTTCATCAGTCTGGGTATATCTTCCAGTAGCAACACATTTGTTGTGTTTTGCTCTGTCTCAGAAATCTGAAGATACACAGACAGGGCATGAGGGCAAGACACTGAATGAGAAGATGCGATTATTGCAGACTGACAACATACTGAATTGAGTGTGTTAAATTCGGATCCTGAAAGAAAGTGAAATGTCACGGGGGCACGACATATGTGCTCCTACTCGTCTTTCCTCACCATTTGAAGGCTCAAGGGCTGGATCGGTTGCACCGGCATCAGCGCCTGAGACCCTGGAACTTTGCACTCCTGATGAACCAAAAGGTAAGCTATGTATGCAGACAGGTCATCAGAAGACTCGAGCAGTAAATCAGTGCCCGAGAGTTGGTCAGCTAGTAACTCTGAATGTGTTCATCGCATTCCCTTTAGGAAAAAGGAAATTCCAACATACCTATTTGGCACACATGAATGCACTTTGACCAGAATTGGACAGCTAGTAATCCGAAAAGAGGACCAGGCAACAATTGCATACTAGATAGCTGTTCCCAATGAAAAGAAGGTTCTAGCTAGATCATTGTTAACGTGTTAATAAGATGAGAAAGTTAAGTCATCAGTAACGCATTTCAAACCCTGCAGTGACACATGAAAAAAAAAATCACAGATACACACATCATTAGGAAACATTAATTATCAGAGAAGGTTCATGCAAACCGTGTGTGTACTATACCATATATATATACCAAGGCATGCTCCCTGAACAATGGTAAAGCAGCATCCATCGCACGAGAGAAACAGGAACGGCATAATACATAGTCTTACCATAGGTGCCGGTATACAAATAACAGAGAGGCAAACACATATGTTCTCCAGGAAAGAAGAAAATTTACAAAACTGAGCATGCTGCACAATCCAGAATTAAAGTGTATGGAACATTCAGATCTCAATCTCTTACTTTCAGATTATATATCAATGAAATGATACAACTTCAAACACGCTATATGAAAGGTTCAATAGATAAACAACATGTAGGGGAAGGAAATCTCCCAATATGTATATTGTTTGAAACAGTTGATTGATACGTCTTATCCGGTGCTCTAATTAGCTGGAGACCTGCACCTGAGTGAGGCCTTTTCAATTTCGACTTGTATCAGCGTAGGTCTCCATCGCCTCAATTGTATGGCATCGCGTGCCTTCGACGATTTGGATGTGCACGTACCTCGGGCCTCCCATGTGCACGCTCCACCACAGGCCACTGGCGTCCCAGCATTGCAAGAGCATTCACCACGGACCTCTGGGGTGCATGCTGATCTAGCCTCTGACGTTGAGGCAATATTGGATGATGTCCTTGCTGATGTGGCCTCTGGTGCCTCCTATGAGCATGCTCCTCTGGTGTCCAACGCTAACATTCACGAGATGCATAGGTTTAGGAGTAAAAATAAAGCAAGCAGATATAAACATCATATATAGGGATAGTCAACCGTCATGCATGAGGCTAGGTGGCATGGAAAATAGAATTTACTTGGTAGCTAGCCCTCAAGGAAGATTTCCTAGACTGCCCACCCGCTAAGAAAATATGGACACACGCTAGATTGTCAAGAAAACATGGACACACCCTAGATTGTCAAGACGACAAGAAAATATGTCAACCGCCAAGAAAATATGTCAAGAAAAGTTCAAAACCCTAGAGCTTGGATGGAGAAATGTCTATATCAAAGTTATAGCGCTCGACGAGACCTAAAACTTTGTAGTTGAAAGTTTTCTAATTTAAGATTGTTTATGAGTTATGTAAAAAAAAAATTGTTTATGAGTTAAAATATTTATTACAAGATTCGTACATATTAGTACAAACAGACAACATCGTATAACTAGTCACAAGTGACTGTGTGGTGCGGTGGTAGAGGATGAAATGCGCGAGGAAGAGGTTGTGGGTTTGAATCCTGGTGTTTGCACTTATTCAAAACAAGTGAAAACTAAATCTTGTGAACTGTGGTCGATCTTCAGGTTTTTGGGCTACATTAAAAATATTTTTTTCTTATTTCTATTCGACTCTAAATGATTTTAAAAAAATTCTAAAAAATAATTTGGCTTTCGGGCTACATTAAAAATATTTTTTTCTTATTTCTATTAGACTCTAAATGATTTTAAAAAAATTCTAAAAATTAATTTTAGGGATGGTTGACTTAAGTCAACTGCCCCTAGGGACGTTTTTAAAACTGTCTATGAAAATCACTTATTTTTACAATCGGTAGCATTGTAGCAGTTTTTTAAACCGCCTCTGAAAACCGATTTTAATTGTCTCTAAAAAACTTTTTTGTACTAGTGCCTTGATCTAAGAAAATCTTAGATTAAGTGCCATTGTGATCGGTCACTAGAATCACCGGCAATGATGTTTTCAGGAGCTTATCCACTTAATTATATTTATGCCGCTAGACTCTTTTTAGTTAGACTTTAAGTGTTTATCTATATAAGTTTGGTGTGTTGTGCTAGCATGAAAACTTTCTTCTATACATTTTTGTATTGCAAGTTTGCATGCCATACATGATGTCATGGCATTGTTATTTATTCCACGTCATTGCATTCGTACACTGAATTAGAAGCCGGAGCAAGCGGAGTTTGAACCTGAGCCAAAGCGTGTAGCTGATGAACCATGTTGAGAACCAAGGCAAGCACCTAAGCATCTTGGATCCTTATTTTGGATTGGAATTGCTATATATATGTTAACACTCGCACACGAGATATTCTCTATATAGATGAATGATGGATTTGGAACCTACTTCATGCATAATCAACCTTGTGTTACTTACCACTAATCGTCCAAGTAAGCTTGTATAGGAGTCGTCATGCATAATTTTTTATTCATTCTTAGATATCAGTTGGAGTCGAGGAGTGGCAAGGTCACCACTACTAGTGAGCCTATAGAGATGTCATGTTAATTTAATTACAACTTCTGGTTGATGATGAGCTAAAATAATAGCAACTATGATTGGTGACCTCAGGCTTGGGCGTGTATTAGGGTCATGTTGGGAGTGGAATCCAATCGAAGTAGACCCGCTTGAGTTGATTATGGACTGATGCGCCGTTGCTTTGATATGTGAGTAGTTTTTTTTTTGTACAAACCACATCCCACCTATGGGAATGGTAACCCGAGTAGTGTGTTTTGACCATGTTAGAAAAATGGCACCTAGCTAGAGCCATATGTGATTTTGGCGATTGAGTGGCAACATGATCAACTAGTCTAATATGGTTTGCTAGTATAGAAGGTTTTAGTCCTAAGGATGGACTTGGACAAAGGCATCTTGAAGATCAAGTGATCAACACCTCAAGGAAGGACAAGGAGGCAAGGAGCTGTTGTGATGACATGAAGTGTTAGAAGCCCAGACGAGAAGACGTGAAGAAAAAAAAAAAACAGATTTCAACATGCATTGTAGACAGGCACTAGAATACTCCAGTGGTACACAAGAGCAGAGCAATTGAGAAAAAGGCGTTGCTCATTTAGGATCGGTCTGATCGTTGTGGTCACCCGAAATCTCTGGTGATGGATGGTGAGCCAGCACCGGAGGTTAGGCTGCTGGCTGAAATCAGTGAAAAGGAGTGCTCACTCATCCTTCCGATGCTCACCAAAGACCACACCACCAAAAATAGTGTCTGAGTAGTTGGAGGCTCGGCGTGGAATAGCAATGGAACCTTCTTGAGAGGTGAAACTAAATTTGGTCGGGCATTATTTTGTCCCGCACGGGCTTTTAGAAAATAAACAAAAAAAAAATGGTATTAAGCAGGAACTAACGTTGATTCTAGCCGTTATATTGAAATCAGGGTTGTCCGTTCAATCCAAGGGCCATAAGGATCAAAGATTCAAAGCTAAAATGTAGTACTCATATAAACACTGTATATGACAGGTGCAGGTAAGCATCGGTACCTCCTGTTGCAGTTGGGGCGGACGGTGACCAGCGGGATTAGCGTTGGGCGCCATGCCGTGGTCCTTGATGAAGGCGGAGTTCGCCTCCGCCCATTTCAGCAACATATCTTCCTTTACCTGCTGCAGCTCTTTCGATATGTCTTCCGCCGTGAAGAGACGCCGCGCTTGCTCCAAAATGTTTCGATCATTTGTCTCGCAGGCCCTGACGAGCCTGCGGGCGCGCCTGATGGACTCCTCCAGAGCATACAGTTTAGCCCTCACACGGGAGCTATTGTTCATGTTCCCCCTCTGGGCCATCAGATCCTCATCGGCGCTATACGCTATACGCTTAATTTCTATGCGCTCCTCGGCGTTGGTGCGATGGGCCGCGGCCATACGGACGGCCCCCCCCCTATGGCCAGATTGACAAGCTCTCCCGCCATGCTGCCTACTACTACTACGCGAAACAGAGTACACAATTGATTAGATCGAACACCGGATACACGCAGCCCCATCAACTCGTCAACTCAATACCAAGGAAATGGAGATATCGAGCTATCCAGAAATTAAACAGAAACTTGTTCTCGACTCGTAGAAATCAATTAATCAAGAAACTTCTTCTCGGTTAATCAAGTTACTTGTTCTCGACTAGCAGCAATCAATTAATCAAGAAACTTCTGCGTCTCGACTCACAGAAATCAATCAATTAATCAAGAAACTCCTGCGTCTCGACTCACAGAAATCAATCAATTAATCACAAGAAACTTGTTGTCGACTCGCAGCAATCAATTAATCAAGAAACTTCTTCGTCTCGACTCACAGAAATCAATTAATCAAGAAACTTCTTCTCGACTCGCAGAAATCAATTAGTAAAGAAATTTCTTCTCAACTCACAAATCAATTAATCAAGAAACTTATTCTCATCTCGCAGAAATCAATTAATCAAGGAACTTTTCTCACCTCACAGAAACCAATTTATCAAAGCAGTCGAATCTTCCAACCTCTAGCTTTCGTATGTACAGAGGTGCGCGTCTTCTCTTCGCTAGGAAGCCCAGCGACTTGTTTCGTGGTATCATATATATTCCTGGGAAGCAATGTAAGCACATTGTTCAAGACAATAAATGATATTTGGTCGTGTCCCCACCCATCAAATGCCGTATTTGACCATCCAAGAGGGCCAATGTGGGTTAGTCCCAAAAAAAATCCAGTGGGACTATCCCATAGAATACTCATGGGCACCCACTAAGGCCATTGGCAGGTGTACAACCAGTTAAGGCCAGACCTGCCGATTGCTCCCCGAAGCCAAGAAACCAGTACCAAAATCAGGGTGTCGCACTCCGCGTACAATGGTTATATATCTTCTAGAAAAGTAATATAGATTCACTGATTCTCTGTGCTTGCGGTGATTCACTGAGTCCATCGGGAACCACGTCTCTACTATAAGGGACCAATCCAAACTATACTAAGTCCACCCAAAAAAGCGTCCCCTGCTGAGTGGTTCCAACCATGTACACCAAAGAAATTGCACCCAAAAAATCGTCTTTATTAAAATCAAGGGCTACAAATCACCCTCAGAGGCTTCAACCCAATCGTGTGGCCATGGTTGTTTGTATCAAATCAGGCTTCAACGCGCAGCACCGCAAGACTTCAACGCGCGTCTACCGCAAAACCACCCACGATCGAACCCTCCTATCACCGAAAAAATGAAACAAAAAACAAACGCGCCGAGGGCGACACCCGACGCCGCCAACCAGGCCACTATCGCCGGCCGAGGAACCCTGCTACCCTCCCACGTCTACTGCCGGCCGCCTACGACGCGATGGTTTTTGCTCTGGTAGAAAATTTTGTTTCTGTTTTCTCGGTGTCCTGCCATCTTGCCAATTTTGATTCTCCTTCCTTGTTTGATCGAAGGGCAGATTGGATCTCAAGATTTTTTTTGCTATGGATAACCAACGACAAGCTGATGTTATTCTGCAACTTCGATTTGATTATTATGCAGCCTGCTGTTGGCATACTCTGTGTCTGATCAAGCGTAATGGCAGAAGCTCTAAATGATTAATAGAATTTCTTCTTCTCAAGTTCGGACGGTGGAATGATCCTTATATATTGAATGTGACATTTACTGTTTTGTGTTTACCTGAAAATAGTTTATCTAGATGTTGTCCTTGTTTATATTATTTGTAGCTGATCCACAATTTGGAAGCTGGATGCGTGAGGGAAATCAAACCTGTTTCTGAGGGGGAAGAAATAAAGCAACTCCTCCTTTCGATTGGAACAGATGAAAGTAATATTCTAAAATTACATCCTTCATTATTAGTAGTATTGCAAGAAGTTGATTGCTTTTTCTGGATTCTTGTTCTAAACTACTACTATATTGGCCTCTTTCAGTGGTAGGGCATGTTAAGTGATACATCAAATGCTGAATCACGATCTGATGTCGATGATTTTGGTCCATCATTTGTTCAGAAAGTTCCGGACTATGGTTGCTTGACTATGGTTTAGGGTGCGGCTGGACCGGCTCTGCGTGGTGGCTGGGCTGCCGCCGCTGCGGTCTCCACCGGATCCGCCTTCC